CAGGAATTCAGGCAGTTCCTATATACTTCATTGTTACAGCCAAACATTTCCAATGTAGCCATGTTTCTGGATCTGTGAAAGCCAGTCAGACAGGCTACTAAAGAAGTGAAAAAAGTGGCAGAAAACATTGAAGGCTGGAAGGTTCACTAAAGTCAAATGCGTTCCCATGAATCATTGTTGTTTTGTTGGTGTTTCTTCAGCAAAATACACTCTCCAGCTGTTACTAGCAGCCCTACTTTTAACTTCCTAGTTGGTTATGCCTATATATAATATGAACATTCTATTTATGTATCTCAAATTGGTAAGTATTATGATGAAATGTCCTAGGAAGTCTTAACTCATTTTTTCAGAGCTTTTAGACACATTTACAATTTTTATTACAGTAAAAGCATTATCAGAAGAAAACAAACAACTTGAACAAGGAATGAAAGAAATATTGCAAGCTGTCAAGGAAATGCAGAAGGATCCTACTGTGAAGGGTGGAGAAACAGCCTTAATAATCCCTAGTCTGGATCGTTTAGTTAATGTAAGCTTGCTTTCTAAAGTATTATTTAGCTTTATAGGATTTGCAGGCTTTTTTTTCCCTCCTCAATTATTGTGTTATTGTATAATTAAATAGTAGCTTCCTTACACATATGCTTCCTTAGTTACAAGTAGGAATACATAGTGTGATACTCCTTTAAAAATGCAAATTGAAAATGTGCAGCAACAAGAGACTGCCAATAAAAATTAAAAAAAAAAACTTCAGCTGGATAGTGTAAAACTGTCTTCGGCATGTTTAGTGTCCCAGACATAAAGCTTAGGTAAAAGTTCATTTGCATGTCTTTTATCTCTATGGAATCTGCAGGAAATGTTTAAGAAAAGTTCTTTATTCAAATATCTTACCAAAAAAATTAGTGTTTTTACAGGAAAATTTAACCATTTAAATCACAGTGTATGGCAAATATACCATTAGGAAATTGATAAGTAGATTTTAAAACATGAAAATTTCATGCTTTTTGCTAATTTCACGTAGTCTAAACTTGAGGCTTCCAGTTTATTATGAAAAAAACAAAGCTTTTCTGCACTTTTGCTCTGTTTTGTAATTAAATGTTTACTGCATTAGGCAATGGAGTTAAAGAATTCAGAGGGAGTCTTTGATGCTAGTGTGCACTTGAAAGCTCAGGCTGATCAGCTTACCGGACGAAATGAAGAATTAAGACAGGAACTGAAGCAGACTCAGAAGGAGGCAACAAATTTGTCTAATCAGCTGGCAAATGCAAATGAAAAGGTATACAGTTTATTTTATATGACTTATTTTGTACTTGAAAAGTGGCTGCTTTTAAAATTTAGAACTAAACCACACAATCTATAAGATACTGAATTAACTTATGTGAACAGTGTAATTATACAAATCTTAATTTGATTTGTGTATTAGATCCACCAATTTGTCCATTTTAAGTTCAAATCTTAACTCTTCTTAATGTTACTTTATCCTTGGAATATCCTATCATGTTAAACACCAAGCATGCTTAGCATGGGGGACAGCTGTACCCAAAAACGTTCACAGATTTCTTTCGTCAAAAAAAAACGATAATCTTGCATTTCTTACTTAGAAATAAGTAACAGAGATTAAGTGTTCTAAAATTTGGAATAAAACTGTGGTGAATCCTCAGGTATGTGAAGCTGCCCTGATTGCTGGAGTAATTTGATAAATTTAGCTTAAGATACTATGCATTTAATGACTTATGGAATCACAGCATTTTTAGAGGTTACTTTAAAGAGTGTGTGAATGCTTTAGAATATAAGTGGAAGTAAATTAAGTTGTTAATAACAACTGATGTAGCACAGGAAAACAATATATTTTCCATCATTTTTTTAATTGAAGAGCAAGAGCTACTGCTGTATGGTTTTATTTCTTTTCTTTTAGATTGCACAACTGAAAAATGAAAATTGCTTATTACGTCAGTCAGAAGGTGCCAATATTTTCTTCCAAACAGTGAATCTTCCAGAAGGAATGGTTCCTTCAAGTGTTAATATGATTAATTCTCTGAATGAATATTTAATACGTCTTATACAGGTAACTAATTCTTGATATCAAGAATATTTGTAACATATAGCCAATTCCTCCAAAATCTAGTACCATGCCACATATGGACATGGGGGAGCTCATCAAAATTATTTTGAAGTTCTGACATCCAATAAACTCTCTGGGCTATTTTGTTTTTTTTGAAGCTGTAAGTATTTTGCTGTGTTGTAAACCTGGAAGGTAATACTTAATTAAATTTTTGACAACAACTCAGATTTTTTTGTTTGAAATCTGAATTTTGGTCTAAATATTTGCCCACTCTTCCTTCTGCTTCTGCAGTTGCACTCTTTCTATGAGAAATTCTCTCTTACTACTGTCTGGATTCCACACCAGAGTCTGCATGTGCAAATCCTACTCTGAACAGTTTTTCTCTATACAGCAAAGGTCTCTATTTACGTACTATATGAATTTTCATTCCATCGTTTGTCAAAAATATGTCAACATTTTTAAAAAGAGGCATAAATATGTTGAAACTGAAGCGAGTGATTCCCAAGGGAAGCATAGCAGACAAGCATAAAGAAGAACCGACTCTTTGAGAATTAGACTGAAAAGAACTTACCTTTTTATTATTATTAAATTCTTTTGTTCTGTCTTTGGTCACTTTGCTTTTGCTGGTTAGAGAATATTTTTCAACTGTATATGATTATAAAGTAGAAGAGTATTTGGGAACATGAGAAGAAAACATGCCTTTCCAGTTAGGCATTCCATTAGTATTCTTTTTGGGCTAGCAACATGTCATGGTGTTCTGAACCTTGAGCGCTGTAATCCACAGTGAAATTGTGCACTATTTCATGCCTATTAATATGAATGCCAAAATTTATTGGACTTTTTTTGATCTGTTGTTTCTAAAGAAAATACACATTTCATATCTGCAGTGCACACAGTTCATGACAGAAGCATCTATCATGAAAAACACAAGGGAGAACTGGCATTTTCTTTAATACTTTCTGTTTAAAACCTATATTAATCACTTCAATATTTTTATTTGAAAAATATTTATTAGGAACTGGAAAATAAAGAACAGTTACTTAAACAATTGGAAGATGCAGTAGAGGACTACAAGCGAAAATTTGTAGTAATTCGTCATCAGCAAGGCTTGCTGTATAAAGAATATCGAAGGTATAGTACTCTTCTGAATTACGAAAGTTCAGCTGTCTAAATATTCAAGAATTTTGAATGCAAGATTTGCTGCTGTGTTGAAGTAGTTCTTTGGTTAATGTCATAAATTCTGCTGCTCTTGGATATGGACTCCATATATTTTATTTAGTCCTGTAAAGATTCAGAAAACTCTTACAAAAACATTTTCTGCTGGACTTCTTTCTTATTATGTACTTTATAATGAGGATTGCATTGTGCTTTCTGCATCCGTTATCTTTTATTTTATTAGAACCTTGTATTATGGACTCCTCAATCTCATTTTCTTTTGCTTTCAAGTATGGGTTCTAACAGTTTTTCTGAGGGGGGAGAACTGTTATCCAAATACAGTCAGAGTTCTCTGTTTCAAGATTTCAGATTGTCAGGACTTTGTAGCTGGTTTTCTTTCAGACTCTTAGTTCTTTTATATGCTTCATTGAATCTAATTTCTATAAAGTGTTTTGTATGGTCAAAAAATCAAAGATTTTCACCTTTTAGGAGCATAGGGATGAATATGATGATTTGGGTCCTTTATTTAACAGACTGTTAGTTTTGTCCTCTCTATCTTTGGACTGGAATGAACAGTCACTGGCTTTTGGAATAAGGATGTCTTATCTTTTAGGACCTTCTGTTGGTTCTTTGAATCAGTTAAGACTTCCCAGATAACATTATCTCTGTTTAAGGCATTAAAGCTATAGCTTTTTGAAAATATTAAAGGCTATAATATGCTGCCTCATTTACTACTAGGTTACATATCTCCGGTGACAGGGATGAGATCAGTGATTCAAGGCTCCTTCTCCAAACCTGTTACAAACTGAAGTTAGGGGAGGAGATTCTTTGATTTGGCATCCTGTAATGACTCACTTTCAGAGCATTTTCTTTCATTTTCCTCTGTTTTCTTCCTTTATGGAAGAATATATAGTGCAGAATTTGGATATGGGAAACCTACGTTTAATTCTCTCCTCTTCCTGAGGGAAATTTGAATTGACATCCTTTAAAGAAAAGCCAACTACTATGCTGTGAGGGATTCTCAGAGGATCAGCGAGTAATCTTTTCCTTATGATACTGTACCATTCTGTATGATTAATTTAAAATACTTCAAAATCCACTTAGGTATTCTGTCTCTCAGGAACTGCAGAAACCTTGTTCCCCTTGCAAGCTGTCTCTCTTAGCTAATGAATGTGCAAGTGCTTCTTGCAAAGGAAACAGTTATGGAAAGAGTCATTGATTATTTGCCAGACCATTTTATCTGGCTGTAAATCTTATCAGCCAAATTTCTGGGCACAATAGTGAATACCTGCTGAAATCTGCTGGGCCTAGTCTGCTTCAAAAAGAAAAGGCCCATTTCCAGGCTCACAGCATGGTAAGTGCCAGTAGTATGATTTTTGTCTCCCTTCCTATAAAAGGGAGACCTGGATTTTCCAGAGAAGTATTTAAAGTGGAAAGTTTTTATCCACAAAGTTTTAAACTTCATCTGGTTTTACAAAGACATGTGCAAGAAAGTAATGAATTTGAAATACAAGTGTGTAATTTAGAGTAGATTAAATCCCATGTGTGTACATTTTTGGGAGTACGGCATATCTATCTTTGCACTGTAGTACACATGTCAAGAAGAGATAAGACACTTTAAATGAAGAATTGTTTTCACTGTTAAACCAGCCTCAGCCTAAACAGAGGGAACAGTTTTTCAGTAATCCATCTACAATTCATAATGTCTCTTTCAAATTACATTGCTGCTAAAAATAAGTATCTTGATTTGCAATATTTCAGGGTTGTTGTTCTAGTTACAGTTTTAAAAATCATCAAGTATTTAATCATTCTAAATGAAAATATTTAATTACTATTTTAGTCAAAAGGAAAGCTGGCAGAAAGAATCAGAAGATATGAAAGAGGAAAAGAAAAAGCTAGAAGAGCAAAAAGAACAGGATGCTACAAAAATAAAGGCATATTCTGTAAGTAATTTGGTTGCTTTCGTTTTTCAAAAAAGTTTTAATACATAGAACACATAGAGGTTTTAATACGGTACCATAATTTGTTAGGTAGAGAAAATGTTGCAGGGAAAAACTGCTCAATTCAAATCAGAAGGGAAGTGGTTTATTGATTTATTAGTGGAATGTAAATAACTGGCAGTCAATGAACTATACATTCAGAATCTGTATCAACAACACAAAAGTGAAATCACAATATTAAGACACAAACAGAATGTTACTGTAGACCTAAAAATCTTTAAGCACCATTCGGGAATTAATCCTAAATATGTCTGATCCCACACACCCACCTTTGCACAGTTATATTCACTCCCTGGTCCCTTCAGGTTACCAGCACACACCCCCTCTCCTGAGAGCACACGTTCATGTATGCACACACCGCTTGTGTATGCTCCGGGGTGCTGTGCACATATGGGGGTGCTCCGGTGTTATGTGTACACGTGCACCTCCCTGCAGTTTGCTAATCCATGCACTGGTGAGAAACCGCCCCAGGAGGTCACATGCACACACCCGAGGTGTGGGTCCCTGCTTGTTGCTCTTGTATGGCCAGTCCATCAGCTGGAGTGCCGAGGCTCATGGTGTCCAGCGGGGAGGAAGTGCTCACGTCTGCACAGAGGATGCAGGGGCAGCGGGGAAACTTCTGAAGCTGAACTAAGTTGTGAGTGCTGCATTATAACTCTCTCTGCACCCACTCTTAGAAGTTTTTGTGCTTCTTTTATACTAATTTTCAAGCTGACTACTTCTTTATTTCAAGTCTCCAATTTTATGGTTACTGTTCACTCTGATTGAAGGTTGTCTTCCTCTTTAATATTATCAGTTTTGAGCAAATGCCCTCTCAGACAGTCTCAGGTATTCTGGTCACACACACTGTGTACACTCACGGTGCTTTCTTAACAGCAGTTGTTATCCACACAGTTTCATTGAAAGGAGGAGCAGAACAGGCACCCCCATAGAATACAGATTAATTTATACTAAGAACTAAGTTTATTACTTTGAATTACATCTTGTTTATATATACATGTTAATGTATGTGTATCAGTATTTCACAAAAACAGGAAACAGAATTCATTTTTCTACTTTGATTTACTTCCACCAAGAATGAATTCAATATTCTGTTAAGAAAAGTGAAAAATAACTTTTTAAGAAGGTGGTATTTAAACATTTGTGGAATTGATGCGGGTGCCTAATCACAGGCATAGTGCAATTTTAGATGGCTTCGGGTGTCTTTGGGCAGATACCAAAAGCTGCCAAATACAACAGAAGACATATGGGGGACACATATCCTTTTAGAGAAGCAGACACAAGGCAAGGATACCACAAGGTGTTGAAAATGACTGTGGATGCCTAAGTTCAGACAGCTGAGTTCTAACCCTTTTCTTCTGCTGACGTGTGACTGTAGTGGTATGTGGTCCTCCTTATAATCATGTTCATTTGTAATTGATTTGCAAAATAATTGTATCCTGAGGCAATTAAGTCTAAATACATTTCCAGGAAAATGAAATTGAAATTGTTTTGTAGGTGTTTCTACTGTATGTTTAAAAAAATGGTGGGGAGGGTGAGCAAGTGCCATCTTACTTAATTTGTTCAGTATCTTATTCTGCATTTGCAGAGTCACAGGAGTAGATTGTAATGGAGTTTTATGATGTTAGTAGTGCTAGTTAGTATTGCTGAGATCTTCTAAGAAATTACTGTTCTCCAGTAGCTTTTGTTTCCAGAAACACATCCTATCCAAAGATAAGAAATAAGTACTATTATTTTTTGATAGTATGTAATTTTGATTAGAGTTAGGTGAACATTTTCAGATTAAATATTTCACTGAAATTAATTCACTGTGAATGATCAATGAAAATGTATTGCTTGCTCTTAAAATCTTAAGAAAAATCGGCTGCTTGATCAGAAAAGCCAAATCTTTGCCAGTTGTCACGGAACTGGATTTTTTTCATGTCTTCAGGCTTCCTGGACTCTGGAGTTTATTCTAGCTACCTGCTTGCTCTTCTTCATGAGGCTTATAGGAATCTGGGATTTTACAGGTCCAATTTGTACTCCCTGTCTCCTTGGCAATGTGTGCGACAGCAAAGCTAAAGCTCACATGCCTTCTGTGACCTGAGTTGCTGTAGTTCCCTCTCCCTGCACCTCATCCCTCCTCAGATTTATACATGCGTGCAGACACGTGTGTGCACACATACACAAACACACATATGTTTCCATAGGAGAGGTCCTGTGGTTAATTTATGAAAACTGGTTTGGTCCTCAAAGTAGGATGTTATTAGTGTTTGTTAGAAATCACAGAGTTTCTATTTGGTTTAGAAAATTGTTCGAATACATTTGTTTTGATTCTAGTAAAAGGGGAGAAGACGGATGACAATGAATGCAGAGAATTATTTTTGTATAAATTTTGAAAATGTCAGCATGAACTAAAATTCCAGTTAGTCAGATTTATTTAACTTCTGTTTCTCAGAAACTAATGATTTTTAAGATTTTTTCTTAAAATAAAATACGATATGCTTAGGTATGTGTTGACTGCATGTATATGTTTTGTTAGCAAAAAGGAATTATTTCAGACATTAGCGGAATTTTTACACCTGGATTAAAAAATGTGCAAGAAAGCTTGTCTACGTAGTTGAGTCTTACCAGGTTTCTGTACAAGGTTGTTTTAAAAAAAATGTTTTACAGAATTTACTCAGTGCACTTCAGCTGGGTCCTGATGAAACAAAAAAAGTACTTGCTGAAAATAATAGAAAAATAACTGTTTTACAAGTTAATGAAAGGTCACTAACAAGGCGGTATACCACTTTACTTGAAACGGAGCGGCATCTGAGAAAAGAAAATGAGAAGCTGAAGGGTGAAATAACACATATGGAGACTGCAGTTATAGGGAAGATTGGAAACTTGCAACGATTCAAGGTATAGTTTACAGTAGTAGTAGTACACGTTTTTATTTTTACAATTTGCCAATAAATACACTTTTTAAAATGGAGGCAGTACTAGTTTCTTGAAAGCATTACCCAACTGCTTATTAAATGCTGTTGTAAATTTTTTAAAAACATTCTTTGTATTTAAATAAGCATCGTAATATGAAACCTGTCAGTTTTCCCTTCTGAAGTTGCTGTAACAAGTTCTTGTTATTAAAAGTCATATGAAACCAAGTCTTACTTTTTGTCCTTGCAGGTTGCTAGGGCCTGTGTTAACTCATCTTTATCAAATATGTTTTTGACAGTGCCTTAAGACTGAGAGCCAACTATTGTTAAAATTACCCAGAGAGTTGGAATACCAGAGAAATTTTGTCAATTTTTATTGCAAGCAATCTATAAAGGTGGACAATAATTTAGTAAAATGAACCAGTATCAAGTTCTAAAGCATTATATTAAGTGGCATTCTTTTTCCATGGGCTAATTTTAATTTTTCTATTTAAGGATCCAGCAGACTGTAGTAACCCATTGTGTTGATTATTTTCATAGGAAATGGCTAGCTTTAAGATTGCAGCTCTGCAAAAAGCGTTGGATGGCAGCGTACCATTGTCTGAGCTAGAGCTGGCTAATAAGCAGTATAATGCATTAACTGCTAAATACAGAGATATGTTACAAAAAGATAACTTGCTCGTCCAGCGGACAACAAACATGGAACACATGGAGGTAATATTTGTGTTATGTTTGAATCCTGAGGGGGAAAAAAACCTCTTTATACATCTGTTCTGCATTGGTTTTTGTTCTTACTTAGTTAGAAAGATAGAACAGAAGTCCCAGTGCTAGAACTGCTTGTTATAACAGTTTCATAGTGGGTATGAGATGTTGGAGTCAGTGTTACTGTTTCTATCGAATTTTAATTTGCGTAACTGGTATTTTTCAGTGGATTAAGAAACATACACAAAGTCCCACATTTTGTTTCAATGGGCATACATAAAAGCATTTTGTTTAATTGTTTTGGTGGTTTTGGTTGTTTGGGTTGTTTGTTTGTTTGCTTTTTAAGTTAAGCTCTAGGTATGTTCCCTCACAAAATATTTTTAGTTCTTTGAGTACCAAAACTTGGATGGAATATTTGCCATCATCTTCAGTTTTGGAAGTCATAAGGAAGGTAGAATGAGTGTAAAAACTTTAAAAGCTCTCTCTCACAAAGTAAGTGCTCTTACTAATTCCTGATTTACAAGAATGACCTGGTCAGTTCCAAAAGACAGTATACCTTTGTAAATTTACTTCCTTCTCTATTTTTTGAAATTTTGTGTGTACAAAGACTTGCATTGGCTGTTTCAGCAATTTCATAGAGCTAGAGCATCATTTATCAATAGCAAACTAAAAACATGTTTAGAAAACTAGAAATTGAAAATTAATATGAAGTATTCACTTTGTTTTACTGGTTAATGTGGAAATTTGTGTTTCTGTTTGGAGAAGTGAAGGAACATTTACAAAACTAATGCTTGCCATCGTATTAGATGCCTGAAAGAACTAAAAGAAGCATATGATCTGTTGTGAATACCTATGTGCAAGATGAAGTATCCTGTGTGGGATGAAATATCCTCCAGAAGTACTTCTTTCTTTCTGACTTTTAGTAAGGTGTTTAGTATGACAAACATAGATTTCTTCATCTAATTCTAGACACTCTAGGATTCACAGTCCTTGATGATAAATATTCACAGTGATATTAGTTGACAGTAAGATACAACATATAGAGCAAAGACTAGCACTTTTACACTTAGAAGGAAACAGGCTTTTCTGTTGCCACATGTGTAGATTATGGCTTGTGCATAGGTAAAACCTGTTAATTTCAAAGATTTTATAGATACTAAACATTAAGTCTACCACAGTTTAATAGTTTGCTGTTATGTTGCAACTTTTTTGTTATACAGCATGAGAATGAATCCTTGAAAGCACAGATAAATTTATTAAATAAGGAACTGGAGATCACGAAAGAGAAACTTCACACTGTGGAACAGGCTTGGGAACAGATGACTAAACTAGGCAAGTATAAAAGTTATACTGCAACATTAAAAATCAAATGGTATATCCTGTGTAAAAGTAATATTTAAAAATCTTTTGAAATTGATGTATCTAAAATCAAAACAAAGCAAAAGTCAAAGCTGTTTTGTATCTTTCGTTAGCAGTCTTATTTTTTGGGGGTGAAATTTTGTTGTTGGTTTCGTTTTACTTACCTATTTGACTAAAACCAAGTTTGCTGTTCTCCCCTGGGAAGTGCTCCACATTGACTTTTCTTGGGTTACTGGGTTTAAAAGCTGGAACTTGTAAAGCAACATCACCTGAATTTATTTTTTATTTTAATAAGGTGTAATGTGTTCTAACATGATTGTCAGTCAAAGTACTTCATAGGTTGTCAGGAAAGAGATTTCTTTCTCCTGGTTTCATGCTCTGTAACAAAGTATTTTTTCTTGATAGCTGGGGCTTCTTTGCGTACAGTTTACATTCCTATTATTCAAGAACTCATCCACATCTATTTCTTTTACAGATTTTAAATTAAATTCCCTGAAGATTTACTAGCTGAATTAAGGATAAAGTGAAAGGCTACATTGAAAATAGTTATCAGTCTCAATAACCATGGTTGCAGATATACCCATTTATAATTTATAATAATACTTTATTCAAATCACATACTTTTCAAACATGTAATAATGCAAGATAACCATGCCTCCAGTTTAAAAAAAAGTAATACAGGTGTTTCGATAGAGTTTATCTGACAGAGATAAACAAAACTCATGTTCTGTTTCGTGGTGCAAATTATTTTCATAGCTGAATCAGCTTGTGTATTCCCTAATTTAAATGTTTTTTAATGTAGGGGATGATGACAATGCCATGGACAAGGCCACAAAAGCAATAACCAACAGTGAGATTTTATCCATTTCTAAGAAAATCACTATGTTGGAAATGAAGGAACTAAATGAAAGACAGAGAGCAGATCATTCGCAACGAATGTATGAACATTTAAGGAATACTGTACAGCAAATAGAAGAACGTAATCTTGAATTGGAAACAAAATTTGCTGAGGTAAATCTGTTGAGATTTTACAACGTAATCTGACACATCTTAAAAGCATTTTTGAGCTTTTCAAAAAATACTAATCTGTCTTGTAATATGACTTGCAAATAAACCTATGATGCAAAATACAGCTGCCTTTGAGTGCTGCAATTTTGCATGCACAGGACTTTTGTAAAAAATATAACTAATTAATTTGTCTATTTTATTTGAAACATTAGTTAATCTCTGTAAAATACAAGGTGAACATCTTGACAGTTTGCTAGTTTTTCAGCAGACTGCTAGAAAAAAGTCTGTTCTTGACCTGTTATTTCTTATAGCTAATTCATATGATCCCTTTTCTGCTACTTTTCCTTTAATTACCAATGATTCAAAAAATGTTAAACCTCTGTATCCCTTTTGCAAATAACACTGTCATGACTGTTACAGACTGGCTATGTCCTTGGTCACATGCCAAACAATATCTGTAATACAGGAGTAGGAGAGAAGTCATGTGCTGTTGAAGCCCACGATCCTTGGTATTCCTGTCATATCAGTCTTGATCTTGTTAGATTTTTTTTGTCCCCACTATTCATGTTTGAATTTTGTTACATAAATTCATTATTTAATAGTAGGAGACTCTGTTATAATTTCCATTCTAAATTTATTTATAGGCAGTTTTACACATATGTTCTTGTGCCAATACTGGCACTATAATTTAAACACAAGGAAAGAAAAAGAATAGTTACGCTGACAGGAATGTTGATAGATTGTATTCATTCCTCCTCCTTGTGCTTTGCTAGACTTTAGCCTAGCTATTCTAGATTGCTGCTATCTGACTCCCCATTTCTCTCTTGTTTTAGTAATGTTTGTTACACTGTTTTAATTTGAATTAATTTGGGACACAGAGTAACTGAAAGTTTATAAAGCTTTTCAGCAGCAGTATTTTAAAAGCCTTTTCTGATGGCATGACTTCTTTTATTTCATTAAGAAATACATCAGGTGATGTACCCTAGGATCACATTTTCCTGTTTCTCTTTGCATATATTATTATCTGTCTTGCAATACACTTAGCTCTGTTTGTCTTCCTTCATTCTGACTTGATGAACTCCTAATGCCACAGCTTTTTTCTTATTGGTTCCTCTGTGCATCCCTTTTTGCCTCATATCTGTAGCTCCAGAACATACATTTTCTGCTTCATATACTCCTGTGGTCAGTGCCTTCTGTTTTCCAGATGGTACTGCCTCGAATATGTGAAGTGCAGATAATAAGATACACCATACTTTTTTTGTTTGTTTAGGAAATGAGTTATTTTATTAAGTAATGGTATCAGATTAGTCTGCCACAACTGTATTTATTAAAGTAATTCTTGAGGCCTCTCTATGTTGCCTGATACTTTTCAAATATCTATCTCTTATTAATGGTCTTTGATTTGAATTGAAACATTGGTTACTTGGTATTTAATAATCAACTTGAAAAATCAGGCTGCTTGAAAGAATGTCACCTAATTATGAAAGTTCTTTTTAGAAAGTATGAAACAATTACACTATCGTGAGTCTTGGCACTTATAACCTGTATTTGTGTTACTGATCCCAATATGCTATTCAGTATATTAATATATAAGTAAGTCTGTTCATTTCCTAAACATTTTACAGTCTTACTCTTTTTTCTTTTTTTTCTTATTTTAGTTTAAGAGCAAGTTATTGCAGTAATGGTTTTGAGAAAATTCACTAAAAAAACTGTGTTTAGTTTAGAACACTGTTTTGTGCCAGCCTGTGTATCTGTTTCTATGGGTATGCAATGCTGCAGACAAAAAGACGTTTAAGCAGAGAGGAACGTTTTCTGAAGGCAGCTGAATAGTGTTTTGTAATGACTAAAAAAGATAAGATACTTTTTGGCACTGCTTTTCTTTTTCAGGGTTGGGAGCAGTTGTGTGCTTAGGCCACCATTTTGTTTGTTTCTGGTTTTGTTTTTTTTTAAGCTCACCAAAATCAACCTTGAGGCCCAGAAAGTGGAACAGGAATTAAGAGATGAACTGTCAAAGAGTGTAAGTAAGGCAGTAAGTGATGCAGATAGACAACAAATCATGGACCTAGAGAAGCGTGAGATGGAGCTCAAGACTGAAGTATCAAAGTAAGTGTTGAAGTAACAAATTTCTAATGCACCATGTTCGGAAGCATGTAAAAATTTAGTCTATATAGGCTTATGTAACAAACTACTTACGTATTTCTAACAGATAATTTTCAATGCCTAGTTTTTTTGGCATTTATATAGGCCAAATTTAGAATTGAAAATGAAGCATTTAATTCGTGACTGTAAAGAAAGTAATTTGCTTCATTTTGATTTGAACAAGGAATTAAGTGCTGGCCTGGATAGATGTGGGTAAGTGTGCACTTAGATACTTATTACTAGTATTTTGTTTCTGTGCCACAATCTCCCTTAAATGTATGAAAATCTCATAAAAGAAATTGGAAAGAAATTCCTACTTTTAAAGAGTCGTAGATATCTCAAAGATTAAACTGCAGCAGGGTTTCTTGTTTTGCCATTTACTTAAAAGAGATTAACTTTGTATGCCTAAATTGAAAAACTGACCTTTTTTACATATGATGATATGGACATTTGTCTTTGAGTAAATAATGTAATCTTGTTATAGTCCTAAAATAGCAAAGTGTGTGGGGATCTATGCAGTCATTTTTGACACTGAAAATGAGTGATTAGACTTGGGGAAGCAGAAAAAGAAATTCAGAATGAAACTTTTTGTGCATTTATGTCCTGAAGTGGGAGGGAAATAGAGGACAGAGATGCTTAGTTCAGGTAAAAACCATGGCAGTGTTTTTCTGGAGTAGGTTACCGCTAGCAAGCTTCTGTATAACTTACAGGAAAGTGTCCTGTGAAAAAGCTGAGGGGCCGTACAGGAGAATTTTCATAACAAGGACTCTGAGTAGTAGTGAAGAATATGCTGAAAAGAACAAAGTCTTCAAATGTTTTGATATGAAGAAGCATACTAAGCATCTTTTCTTAGCGTCTCTGTGTAGAAAAACTTAATAGGTTATTCAGTGGTTTCAAGTAACACAGTACTCTTGTTTTCCCTGCAAGGTTGAGAGAACTGTCTGATGTAGCAAAAATGCAAGTTGAAGCTCTGGAGGCACGCCAGCAATACAGAGATAAAGAAGTGGAATCTCTTAGAATCCAAATTTTAGACTATCAGGTAAAATTCAGCCTTTATTAGCACTGCGATTTGGACTTTTTTCTCTGGAGTGAGAAGAAATTAAGTAATTTTACAGTGAATTAGGAAACTGCAAAAGCATTTCAGAAGGATCTTAGCAAGCTGGCCTGTGTAGTGGCCATATCCTTTCCAGAGTTCTCTGTTACAATAATTATTCCTTTCTCTGTTTTTTCCATTTCTACCCGTAGAGTTATTACAGATCCTGAGATTTTTTTCCATGTTTTTTAGGTAGTATTCATTTCTATATGATTAATAGCTCATTGTCAATATTTAAATATAATATCACAAAAGTTTGATCATTTTTTACAAGACAAGCAATGACTTCTAAATCTTGTAGATTTGCAGTAGACTTGTATTGCTTTGTTATTAGCTGAAAGAATTTCCTGGGATTTGTTTTCATGTCCTAGAATGGTTTGAGTCCCTAATTACAACACTTCAATCAGATTTTACGTTACCATTTTTTTCTAAGTTTAGGTATACCTTTCTTCCTCATTTCCTGGTATTTTGGAAAGATATAATTTTAAAGATCAGTATCTGAAAAGGCGTACTTCTAAAATATAGAAACAGTAGTGGAAAAATAAAAAGCTGTTTTTAGAGGCTAATTCTTGCTCTTACCTATGGAATAAAATACATTCACTATATAAAATACAAAAAATAATAGGCTGTTTATATTTACATATACACTGCATTAACATTTGAAATGAAAAATTGATTTGTTTTATAAATTTTGTTCTTAGGCACAGTCAGATGAAAAAGCTGTTATTGCAAAACTGCATCAACATGTCATAGCCCTTCAAGGTAGTGAATCTGTTGCTGTAGGCAAATTGGAGACACTTATGTTGAAACTACAGAAGTTGGAGATCCATAATCTACGTTTAGAGCAGAAGCTTGATGAGAAAGAGCAAGCCTTATATTTTGCCCGCCTGGAAGGAAGAAATAGAGCCAAACACCTACAACAGACAGTTCAGTCTTTGCGGCGACAGTTTAGTGGTGCTCTGCCTTTAGCACAGCAAGAAAAATTCTCTAAAACAATGATTCAGCTACAGAATGACAAACTGAAGGTCCTGGAAGAAGTTCAGCATGCCCAGGAGGCACGTCGAAATGCAGAAAACAGAGCATTAGAGATGAAGTTAAAACTGAGAAGTTTAGAAGAATTAGTAAGTGCATTGAAGGATACAAGAGGAGCTCAAAAGGTTTGCTTTTTTACACCTTTGAATAGCTTTGTCCATCTGATCTGCATTTAAATTACATTTCAGTTCTGCTTCTTCCCTAAATGTCTGTTTTAATGTAGAACTTAATGATTTCAAAACACACTTTGTTAAAATACGACAGCTATAATTTTTTTGTTTTCCTGTTTTAAAAAAATAATACATTATTGGTTAATTGCCCTGTAAGAGTCAGCGCAGTCAGATTTACTAGTATTTTTTTATGGCCAAATAAGTGGCATAGGAAGTAGAAGCTAACTATGAATTCAGTTATATTGATATAAAATATATATGAAATTAAATTAAACACAGAGTAGCATTCTGAAGTTCTGTTCCATGAGCTTGCATTGAAATCTTCACAGGGGCAATAATTTAGGCAGCATGGTCAGAAATGTTTTTATATTCATGTAATTCTACTTAATCAGATTTTGCTATTGTAAACAATGTTACCTTGAAATTTGAGTAAGATTTTCTCACTTCTCTTGTAGATCACTGTGTATTACATAATATGGTTGTATCTGTCATGACTAAAGATATCTGCATGTAAGCAATGGTTGTAGTGCTCTTGGTGTGTTTTAAGCCAGTTTTCAAATATTTTTCTAGTGCATTTTGACATAAATATGTCTGTTATTCTTAGTACATGTACATTTTTTAATACATAGTTTTTAATGGTTTTGAAAATCTGCTTTTTTAGAAGAGTCAGCCAAACTTCTTCCATGCTTTTTTTGTTCAGTCTGCACAGATGCATAGGCTATAACTTAGTTAGGTCATTTGAAAATTATTTGCAATACACTTCTGTCAGCATAGGGGAAACCTGTTGTCTCTCCAGTTGTCTCCTGCACTTTTCAGTCATTCCTCCTGCAGTTTCATACTCTTGCCATGTCTCCTCACCCAAGAGAAGAGAAGAAGCTTAAAAAGACATAGCATTTTTCTTCCTGTTGGTTTGAGAAGTGCCATACTGCCTCAGAGTCAAAGAGTGTAGCCACATCTAGTTGGCCTGTGGGCTTAGTAAGTTATAATGCTGTGTGTCATTCGTTATTAGGTAGTTGAATGGCATATGAAGATGGAGGAACTCCGTCTGCAGGAACTTAAACTCAATCGAGAGTTAGTCAAGCAAAAGGAAGAGGTGAAGTATTTGCATAATATAATTTCTGAATATGAACGTACAATCAGTAATCTGGAAGAAGAAATTGTACAGCAGAACAAGGTATGTATCTCTGCATGCTATTAGAAAACCAGCCTATTCCTTATTTCACTAAGTGATTTTTAAAAGGAAGATTCTTCCTAGTAAGATTTTAACATAGATGTTTGTATCATGGTTCCATTCTTTTTAATAGCACATGTGGGTATATTCCATTTTGGTGTCTCTTTTTTTCTGTTTAAGTTGGTTGTAAAATTCCCATTGCCTTCAATAAATAAAATTCCTTTATCAAACATTGTTACAGTTTCATGAAGAAAGGCAAATGGCTTGGGACGAGAGGGAATTAGAACTGCAACGCCAATTAGACCTATATGATCACCAAAAAAATGAAATACTTAGTACAGCTGTAAAGGTGCGTGCACTGAATTAACTAAAAATAGACTCTTAAGCATGGTTTTCAGAGCTGTCACACTACATGAATATGAATCTTTCTGTGCAGTTAGAAGAGGCTACAGGATCAGTTCCAGACCCTAGTTTGCCACTCCCACAACAACTTGAATTCGCTTTGAGAAAGATTCAGGAGCACATTCAAACAATCCTGGAAACTAGGGCAACCTGCAAATCACTGGAGGAGGTAAGTACATCTATAAATTATCATATAAAGGGACAAATATTGTATTTCTATGCCCTTTAATTTTTTGTTATGTAACAAATATGCTTTTATAAATGTCGCTCATATGTGTCCAATCACTTAGAAGTATTTAACACAGAGAAAATGTAAATAATATAATCGCACCGTGACTAAAATGAAATGTTTTTTCCACTGAAAAAAATTATTGGGGAAAATTTTTTAATATTTTAGATCATTCATTTAGTAGGATAAGATGCTCTTGCTGTACAAAACTCAGTTGACTGTAGCTAGTTAAATTTAGCAACTGTTACATTAAATTTAGCAAGTAGCATAGGAAAATCCTTGTATCTTGGGTTGCTAAATTGAAATTCTGTTACAGAAGATACTTTGTGGTTCTTGAGAAATTTGGAAAACACCAGCTTCTTAATTTGGTAGCACAAAATGAGTTGCATAAGTGTGTTGTTCCAAGCAAATAATACATAAAGACACAGTAATGACATTCTGGGATTTTTTTCATTGAATAGTAATCCCATAGAGCCAGAATCAAATGTAAAACACTTTGTGTTTATAAGTCCATTTAGACAAATCTTTCTGATACATTTTTTGAAAAGTAAAGATCTTTTTTGCAGTGTTTGTATTCTAGAAATGCAATAGTTGCCTTTTGTTGCAGAAATTAAAAGAAAAGGAAACTGCTCTGTCGAAATCTGAACAAAATGTTTTATCAAGAGACAAAGTTATAAATGAACTAAGACTTCAATTACCTGCAACAGCAGAAAGAGAGAAAATAATGGCTGAATTAGGCAAACAAGATGATCCAGAGTACCATCATGCCATAAAAATTGCTCATGAAACCATTGCAAATATGCACGCAAGATTAAATCAAAAGGAGGAAGTGTTAAAAAAATACCAACGTTTGCTTGCTAAAGCAAGAGAGGTAATTAAACTTTTTGCACAAAATTTCTTCCATTTTTAAGTTGTTTTAGTTGATTCTTTTTTTTTTGTCTTTTTACTAGTGAAATCTTAAAAAGTTTCTGCTTTCAGAGGTAACAGAACAGAGAAAATCGGTAGTTTTTTTGTAGACCACTCATGTAGAATTTTTTAACTTCTGAAAGTAGCAGGTTTGCTCAGTTAAGAGGTTATGTATATGATGTCTGTGTAGGAATTCAGTTAGTATGACAGGAAGAAAATTAAAATTCCGCTGTGAGAAGTGGTCTCAGTATATTGTATATTTATGTGGGGTTTTCCAGTACTTTCAACAATGATGTCTGGACTGCATCTTGTAGTGAATTTGGAAGGCACAGGAAAGACATGCATTTATGGAAAATGTGCTGCTTAAAGCATTTTTTAAATTAAAGCATATTTTAAAGCATAAACAGTGTATCTAAGCATACTTTGTATTACTAAAGCATATTTTACATTCTTTATTCTTTATGCCCTTAAGGCATATTTTAAAGCATAAACCCTGTGTCTAAAAGGTACTTTAAGACTAAATATGCATCAGTTTTAGTGTGTTTGTATCAAGATCACATTTCTGAAGCAGACTTCCTATTATCTTCACTTAGTGTTCTTTGATTAACATGTGTAGTTTTTTTTTCTGGAAGAAATCAAGTTTTTTGGTCTGGAACTAAACCACAGAATGCAGTCTAAAAATAAGCCTACTGTGCTCTGTCTGCTAACAGACATTCAATCCACGGCATCACACTACAGTCCAAATTAAACAGACCTGAAAAATACCTAGTATGGATATCACTATCCATATTCGTAGTTGGTGAGGACCAACACCAGCTGTTTTGCTCTCCAGCTCCTGTCCTGTTGCACCAAACTACTTGCTACATATCTTAAAACTGCAATAGTAGATTTTTTTCCAATAGTGTTAAAAACGGGGAAAAAAAATCTTTGATTATAGCAACACGAAAAGAATTTTTAAAAATTCCAGAATTAGAGGAAAATTTGGGGAGCAATACTGAGCAATGAGTGAGCCATCAACATGAAGGTACTGTAGTTTCATCACTTTCTGCAATAGTGTGCATCAGTAGAATGGAATTTTTATTTTGAACTAACAGGAACAAGAGGAAACAGCAAAGAAGCATGAGGAAGACCTTAGAGTTCTACACCAGAAGTTAAATTTGCATACTGACAATTCCCTTAATAAATTCAAACAGACTGCTTTGGTGAGTTACGTGTGTTTGTGGGATTAGTGAAGTTGTTACCAAATTCTTAAATTTGTTGCTCAAAAGAACAGTTTTGCAGTTAAAAATCAGTAATAAATGATGACAGGAAGAATAAATGGGTGGTTGGTACAGAATTACGGTATTATTCTTGAGACAATTTACATGAGATGGATTAGAAGTCAAGAATAAGAAATGAAAGTTACTGCCTCAGTATATATGAACATTTTTCATATCATCCTAATTTATGAAGACTTCTAGGAGAGAGAGGTGTATTTTGTTTTCTGTTCTTTTAATTCAGTCTGTGGTTATGTTAAATTATCCCATTTCAATACAAATTTTCTCTTGACACTTCATGATAAGGTAAAACCTCTATTTCACTGATTATTCTGTGGATCATTAGACGCACCAAGCTCTTTGAAACCAATGCAACTGCTTTCTCTGTGGACTGAGAATTACATCTCAGTAAATAAACATGTTAGATATTAATGCTTCGTTATGTTTAGGATTGAATTTAAAATGCATCATTAGTGCTTACCTTTGATTTAAAGCTTAAAATGTTTATCCCTTGTATTTGTTCTGTTTTACAGGAGTTAGTGACAAAGACTTCTTTATCACTTTCCAACAACAAACATTTTCTCCACTTAGCTGAAATGGAGCAAACTGTAGCAGAACAGGATAATTCTCTTGCTAGACTTATTGGAAAATTAAAGAAAACATCATCTGATTTGGAAAAACAAAAGCAAATTACTTTAATGAAAATCAAAGAGTTTGAGACTATGAGAGCCCAGTAAGTTTTCAGACTGTTAATATAAGTCACAACTGGATTGGATCAAGTCAATTATGTATTGCTGCTACAGGACTGGTCTATCAAATTGAAAATGTTTTTGCTGAATTTAAAATCTGACTGAAAAAAATAACTCAAAGGAGTTACTGTGATTGGTATTGTAAGTTATTTTTAATCTGTAGCCTTTCATCGGGGCTGATGTTGAAAAACTGGCTTGGAAAAATATCTTTCAGTTGTTAGTTTTGTGCCATTTAGTGAAAAAGAAAATATTGAAAGAGTCTTGGTATGAGAGTTGTCTAAGCTACTGTGATACTTACTGGTTTGTGTTTTGGTTTTTTTTTTTTACCCTGACACATTCATTTGGACTTGCTGCCTAACAAGTTTAAACTCATGAAAATTAAGCACCTGTTTAAAAGGAGAAAAGTGTAAGGCTTTATTTACCTGTTAGGGGCAGGAATTAGAATGAACAACGCTCTAATCTCATGTTGCTGATCTGCCTGAGTAATTTTGTTTATTAAATGGAGGCCTTCTTTGTTGAGTCAGTCTTTTTTGCTGTTTCCAAATCTGTGTCATTTGCTTTAACAATAGCAAAAAATATAACATCTTGCCCTTTGTTATTTATTTGGAGTTTGCTAACTTTATTATTGCAGTGTACCCTATTAATGCTTGTTTTTTTAGGCTTCAGGAAAAGCACACAGTTGATGTGGAACAGCTAAAAGATGAAGCAAATGAACTGAGAAGCACGTTATCTCAGATGGAGAAGGAATTAGCAAATGTGAAAGCTGAACTAGAGGTCCAAAAAGAAGCAAATAATAGAGCACCCACAGCAACACTGAAAAACCTGGTGGAACAGCTGAAGAGCCAGTTAGCCATAAAAGAAAAGCAGCAGAAAGTTAGTCAACAAAAATTAATCCCTATGTCACATGAATGTTTAATGTTGCTTAATGCTTAAGAATTCTATGTATAGTGCAGCAAGGAGGTAGAATATAATTACATAATAAAACATAGTAAAATATAATTGCCTTTTATTCTTGTAAGGTTCGTATTAGCAGCTTCTTCACTTAAAAGAACTTGAATTTATTATTTTCAGGCTTTGAGTAAAGCACTTCTGGAACTCCGAGCAGAAATGACTGCTAATGCTGAACAGCAGATTATTTCTGCTGCATCACAAAAAGAGGCGTATATGAATGTCCAGGAGATTGTTGACAGAGAAACAAAGGGGCTTATGGTGAGTACTAGGTAATTTCATGGTATTGCATTGTTGTATTGTTGATAATCCTGATTTGGGAGGTTTACTGTTTCGTTTGTTTGTTTTCTTCCAGACACAGATAGAGGAATTAAATAATCAGATTGCAAAACTTACAGATAATCTTAAAATAAGTAAAACCAAGGAAAGTTCTTTGTCTGATGAAAGGGATGAGTTGAACCAAGAACTTCAGAGGAAACAAAAAGCATTTGCTAAAATGCTGAGAGAAAAAAATGAAATGGAAAAAGAAAATGAAGAACTGAAGAAAAGGATTAGGAGGCTAAGCGGTAGCATTCAGGTAGAAGTGATTTTTAAAACCACGTTCTGACTTGGTCAAGTTTCTGCATAGATGTGCTGGTTTTGAGGGGAAAGATTAAGTACTTTTGGCAGGCATTGAGACTTATACTTGATTTAAAATTTTAAGTTTGCTCATCAACTGAGTTGTGTGTGAGCTGTTAGCTTTTGCTGTTGGAAGCATGCTTCATGTAAAAGGAAGAGACTGAAAAATAACTTCCTCCTTGAAAAGGCTTTGACTTTCAAAGCTTCTTTGAAAAATGTGATTTTGTGATCTTCCTGGCTGTCCTTATTTCCCCTTTCAGAAGAAAAGTAAAGGATTTACAGTAGAATTGTCAAATTGTTTCTTTTTAAGTTCAGTTACTTGCTGCTGACCATTCCATTTAGAATGCAAAGTTACATTCCAATAATTTAATAATTTAAAGATAATTTTAAAAAGGTTGTTTAGGTTGTAAACTGATTCTATTGATTGGAACTAAAGTCCTTATTTTTTCAGTGGAGAAAAATACTTAGGTAGTGGTCATTAAACATGTAAGTCTGTAATTTTTCAGAGCAAAGCTGATGAACAAGATCTGATAGACACACTTCAGAAAAAAATTAAAAAGTTGGAAAGTGAACTTGAGAAGAAGTGTGAAGAAACAGAAAAAAAAGGTGTAAGAGAAGACAAGGTATGTGACATTTAGATCGTGCCTTTGAAAGACATCATCAGCCTAGATCTAGGCAGTTCAGCTCTCCCTGTTGCCTCCAAAAACAACCAACCAACCTAACTTAGTCATAAGAGAAGCAGTTTCATGACTGTAAGTTCTTCATGTTTCCGTGCTCTGTGTTACTCCTTTTGTTGCTTAGTACCAGTATATTAATGTTATCCTGCCCTTTTTGTAGAATCAAAGATCCATTACAAATCTTGGAAAACTAATATTTTGTAGGTAGCAGTTAAATTGATTACATAATGTGCATTTGCGAAATCAGTGCAATGATAAAAACATGAAGTAATTAGGAGCAAAAGTGTGAATCCTAAAAGGGATGATATCTCTCTAAGTGATTATTCTTCACAGTAGTGATCTCCACCTGCAAGAGGTTCTGAGCGATTGGAGATGTGTTCATTTTACCAGTTGTTTTGTTCGTTTTTTTGCTTGGTGTTTTACTACTTCAGTAACTAATCAGTGTCCTGTCATAGTAAGCATAAAGTATACTGGAATATTACAGCATGATTGTATAATGACATTCAGACTATTTATAATATTAAATATTATTCTAGGACTGCACTTATGCTTCCGGTTATTTTCAGACTTTTTAAGTACCTGTTGCTTAGTGTCTAGAGATATTTTCCTCAAGCTTGGCATGTTTTTTCCTTTTTTCCAAGATTTTGTTTTCTGTCTGTCCCTTAGTAGCAGTAACTTTAGAACGAAGACAGAAAAGAAAGTACAGGAGCTAACTGGAGATTGGAAAAGTCCAATTAAAGAAACCAAAATTGTTTACAGGAGTATTGACTGATTTTTCAGTAGCCATTTGTGATCGCATAGATACAAGTTTTAACTGATGTATAATTTATAGCTACTGAATTTAACTTTAGAGTAGAGATTTCCATTTCTCATAGGAGAAAAACTAAAATGACCAATTGTACAACTGTGCAGCAGGGGCATAAAATTATCTAGTGAGCTGCAGAAGACAGATCGACTGTAAACTGGCATAAAAAAACACTTCTTTTTCTTTAATCTGTCTTCTTTACTAATGTGTAATTAAAAGTAAAAGGATACATTGCACTAGCACCTCTGATTCATCAAATATGTCACTCCTTTTTTAGTAAAATGACTGTTAAAACTAAGGAAGAATTTGGTAATAGGATTAAACTGCATCAGCTTTATACACTAGTCACTACAGGATAGTTATGGTATCTGGCTGGACCTGCTATTTACCTTATGGTGAATAAGGTACATAATATATGCCTGCTATGGCTTCATGTTTTAAACTGATAAATGAAGAATGTATCATTCTTGGTTTTCTAACATGTTTTCTAATTTTGCTCTAAGAAAAAAGTTAAAGAAGAAATACATAATTTGTTTGTGTGCTTCACAGACCTCCAAGGAGGAAATAATTAGATGGGAAGAAGGTAAAAAATGGCAAATCAGGATGGAAGGACTGCGGAACAAACTAAGGGAAAAGGAAAAAGAAGCAGATGCTTTAGCCAAACAGTTGAATTCATTGAAGGAAATCTATACCAAGTGAGTTGGTTTTAATAGATTCAGCTACAAAATGAAGACAGAAGGGAAATCCAAATATGTCTGCCTCGTAATAATTATAGCAGTTTGTTATGTTTATAAGATTGATATCTAGAATTTGATGTTGCTATTGAGATTAAAAGGCTTAGTTAATGTTCAAGTAGCAGGCTACTCCTCTAGTATCCTTTCACTTGTAGAAGCCAACAACCTTTATTAGAAGAAAAAGTCGCTGAATAAAACTTTATTATGCTTCTTGTATGTAGCATTCTGTTCTTCCCATGAAACAACTAACAGCTTTATGAAGACAAGCTGCTTCTCACCTCTGTGTTGTTTAATTGGATTGCTAGGACTGGATGCGGTGCTACTGTTATGTGTAGCGCTACTGCAGTACTGACGGTTCTACGATTATGAGGTGGAAGCCTGTTAAAAAACCCACACGCACAAACCCTCTGCAAATGCTACGTTTACTTCAGTACAGTAATGGCAGGGTTTTACTGATGAAAGATACAGAAGAGAAAGGAAACTGTGATGGTGATTAGAGTTGTTGTTAGATTGTGGTTTGAAACTGCATCAAAATGGTATTTACTCTTAGCAAGTCTTACATGAATTTCACATAAAATACAGGCAACACCAGCAAGTGGTTTATGAGATCCATGATACTGACTTCATTGTTTTTCCCAGGTTTGGGGTTTTTGGTTTGGTTTTTTTTTGGTAAAGCTCTGCTATCTATAAGATAACCTTATTAAACAGAAAAGGGGGTGTGGTTCAGTAAGCAAATGAATTGCAAATGTGGATTCTTTAAGATAGAAAATATTTTGTTCTAAAGAAAGCAAGTTAGCAAATAAAGTTTTAAATGTAAATTTATTGGATGTTGCAGGACTGAAAAAGAAAAAGTTGTTCTGCAGAAGAAACTGAAAACTACTGGTGTCACTGTTGACCGTGTTGTTGGAGTAAGAGCCTCAGAGACTGAACAAGAACTGGAAGAACTAAGAAAACGGAATCTAGATTTAGAAAATGAAGTTGCTTACATGAGGTGAGAGGCATTTTAAAAGTATGTATAAAAACTAAATAATCTATATGAGAAAAAAATCTGTGGAAAGGGATAGATAGTCTCTAATAGACCAACTGATTCAAAAAGGAAAGAAACAGATGGGGATTTCAAAATCCTTCTTTGAGTCTGTGTTGAGCAGACTTAAAGCTACTTGGGAGCAATTGTACATGTCCAGAGAATATTGCAGCATTGGTTCATTACGCTAAAAAGCTAAATAATACGAAAAACATCTGGCTCCTATTGTGTAAAATTATAATTACAATTTAGAGTTGGTGAAAGTTTCTGGAACTTCTAAGTTGCCATTAGGGATTGTGCTCTTGGTGTATCCACTATCACAGTGGATAGTGTATACGAGTAATAGAAGCTGTACACATCTCAAAAGAGCAGATTCCTTTTGCTGAAGTAAGTACTTTAGATTCAAGGGGATTAGTTTAAATAGAATATATGGCTAACATTGATTTAGAATAACTACCCCAGCAATACTAGAAAATCCGGTCTAGTAATCCAGAAGTTCATCGTTTTTTTACCTTAAGGGATGTTTTTCTGCTTTAATAGCCATTTTTTTGTTTTGGCTTGATTAATTTTTTGATGTAGAACACAGCAAGCAATCCCACGAGATTCTGTTGTAGAAGAATTGCATCTCAAAAATCAATACCTCCAGGAAAAGCTTCATGCATTGCAGATACAATGTTCAAGAGAGACATATTCTAGACCCTTGGTAAGTTAATAGTGTAACTATATTACTTAGAGGAAGTGCACCTACTTAACAAAGTTATTTGTTTTCCATTTGATATTCTGTGTCATTTAGCTGACTTTATTTCAAATGATAGTATTCCACAACAGGATTAAATACTCAGCCCCCCAAAACCCCAAACTTTACAGTTTTTGTGTGTGTTCTACAGGTAGAAGCTGAAATATTCAACATCCTAGTATATGTGGAGAAATAAGGTATATGTATTTTTAAATATGTGAGTCTGCAGCTGAGAGGCTTCTTCTATATGCCATATTGATTGAAAATTTGGGATACACAGAGTTTTGAGGACACACTGAACTGCATTTCAGTTACATTAGGTGTTTTTGTTGTGCTTTGATTTTTACAAGGTTCATTATATTGCAACTATTGCATTATTAGGTTATCTTAATCTTCCAAGTTATAGATTCAACTGTACATTCTAGGTTTCTTTATATCCTGTTTTGTTTTACTGTCTTCTGCTTCTCTTTCATGCTTCATTCTGTCTTCAACTTGAATCAGAGTACGTGTGACCAAACTGAACTGACCAAGTCTGTTCCTATCAGTAACAGTAAACAAAAGCATTTGAATTCCCTTCAAAATAAATCTGTTTCAAATAGGGATGAAATCAAACATCAGAGTAATGATAGCATTACTGATGCCAATGAAATAGATGAGGAAGCAGACAAGCAAACATGTGTCATGCGTACCGAAGGTCACGGGGCTACTGGGGATGCAAGCACAGAAGTGTCTCCTGAACAGCATCCCAAAGACGGTGAGAAATGCAAGGACACAGATATTTCTAGGGAAGGACTGAAAAACAAGAATATAGCTGAAGCTGATGAAGACAACTGCAGTGACAAAGAAGAAAACATAACCCAACCTGAAAATGGAAAACTTAACAAGGAATGTGAAGAAGAGGAGAGGAAGCAAGAAACACTCAAGCAATCAAATGCTGATGAAGAAGAAAGTGTAGAAGAGCCTTATACTGACACAATGAACTGCAATCAGTGTGATTCAGGGGAACCTTCTAATCAGGCTGATGACTACGAAGCAGAAAAAATCAATGTGAATAATGAAATGAATCAACACACTGCAGAAGACAAACATGAAACTTGCCGAAGTGGTACAGAGGGGCTTGAAACAACCCCAGAATTTTGTGAAATGCCCGAGGTTTGATACTAGAGCAGTCCTCTAGCATTACTTCTGTATGAATGATGTAGAAATAGAATAGTTTGATCTTGATAATGCAGTGGTTCCCTATGCATGGTCTGCAGGGATATTGAAACAGTCACCAAGTGGTCCATAAAACAAACCTTACACTTTCATGATAGGTATGCATGTCAGCTCATAAGTAAGCTGCTGTCATATCTAAAATTTCAATCCAGAAAGTTTACCAATAATCACAATGATACGTGCGGCTAGTTGATGACCTTCATTCATTAAGAGACTTTACACTAAGAAAAAAATACGCTTTATTGAAGCAAATGCTTTATTCCTAGCATTATTAGTGATGAATTAATAGATCATATGGTTAATTCCATAGTTATGGATGTAAAAACTCCTGATTATTACACCATCAAATGGTTTTACTCTTTACTAGTCAGGCATAACAATGTACAATATACTTATGATTGGAATCGGCAATATGAGGCATGCAAAGCACTCTTTGTGTAATAGGAATTACTAGCCTCCATGGGCAAGGACTTCAGACTGTAGGAACTAACAGATGAATAACTAGTTATATACTACTCTTCCTGACTTGCTCTGTGATCTGCTTGACTTCAGTGAAACTCCTTATGCCATATGTACTATTTAATAAACATATCAGAATGTGTCCTTAAAATTAGATGCTGTTCCCAAGTACAAGGTCACAGCTTACTACATTCAGTACCTTTTTGTCTTTTAGACTTTGAGGTTTATTTCTACCCAATAGTTTGAGAGTTAATTTTGGTTTGACGAAATTTTACTGGTTTATACTGATTTGTCAACTTCCCTTAAAGGTTAAGCAAGTTTAGAAAATGTAAGAGGAGGAGTTAAGGTCAGAGGTTAGATTAGATCATAACTGGTGATACAGCTGTCATCCATTTTATTTCTGTGAAAAATGCTAATGCTCTGTTGCTCTTTGTCAGCTACAACTGATACAATGACTAATGCATTACCATTTAATAATATTTTTTCCCGTCTGTTTTCTCAAGACATCAGGAATAGGATCAGATGTTCAATATCGAAGAGAACAAGAGCTTTTAAAGGAAAATTTAAGATTGTCATCTGAAAACGTTGAGCTAAGATTCCAGCTAGAGCAGGCCAATAAAGATTTGCCAAGACTAAAGGTAACCTCTATTTACCGTTAGTCCACTTTAACCTGACACAGGTTAGGGGATTGCTTAAAAAGAAATGGATATATTTTCTGTACATACTGTAAGTTTTTCATGCTTTTATGGAAGATGAGAAGGTTGAATGGCTGGTAGAAATTACAAAAAATGTCATTGCGATGGGAAATTGCTTTCTCCTTTTTTTCTTTTTTCAAAGTAAACCAACTGTCATTTTGTTACTGCTCGCTTCAATTTGAAATCTAAGTAAGTTGCTTATTTCTTTGTTTTTTTAGGACCAAGTAGGTGACTTGAAAGAAATGTGTGAACTTCTCAAAAAAGAGAAAGCAGATGTTGAACGAAAGCTGGGCAGCATTAGAGGAGTGAGTATCGTCGCAGCATTTTTCATCATAAATAAATGAAACCAAAATACAAAAGAAAGCAGTATTTTATTAAAGCTAAATTATTTGGAATCAACCAAAAGCAAACAGGAATTGTTCTTACTTGTTTATTTTATTGTCAAAGTGCTATAATAAATTAGTGAAATTCAGTTAATGGTACCATTAGAAGGACTAGAGCTACACTGTTAAATATTTGCACCATCGTGGTCTTATTTTGTCATTTGAATTAGTTATCTTCAGAAAAGTATTTGTAAAAAAAATAGGAGTTACAGCTGAAAATTATATTCAGTTATTTATGTAAATGCCTGACACAGTTACAGCTTTATGATTTAAAAGATAGAATTTTGATTTGATGCAGATGGTCGCTATATAGGTTTATGTAGGGCTCCAGGGAGCAAAATCTCCCCCATTTTCCACTGTACTGCGATCCTTGCTTCTGTAGAAACAAATGGAGGTACTTCATGGGCCCAGAACTAGAAACAGCAGTGTCTTTAAATTATTATTGCTGAGGAAAACAGTTGCTACAAAGATGATGAGAAGATAAATGTGTTGGAAAACCATTTAAACAGCTTTTCTACCTCATAAATTAACGTAACGAAAGAAGAAAATGGAGAAATTACAAGCTTCCCCCCTCTTATTTATTTATTTATTTATCACTTCGTAAGGAAAATACATGCCTTCGGAAAGGGAGAAGACTTGTCGTTCTTCTGTCATTTTAACCCAGCAGAAGTATGGTTGCTAACAAAGGGTCCTCTTTTCCTCTTTTATTTTTTTCTTTTTTCCCCCTCAGACAGTATTAGCATTCAATCAATTGCATGGTCTCTTGGATTAGGGAATTGGTCTACAAGAAAAGCTAAAAAAAAAAAAAATATGGTAGTACTTCGATTTATTTTCATAATGTTTCAGTGTAGTTCATAAAGTACACCAGATTGTGAGACTAACTGCAGCTTTCTTGAGTAACACAGAAAGTGAAGGAGCTGTTGTGTTGACTTTGGGGGTGAATGTATCGCTAGATATTTTGTGGAGCTAAGCATGCAAGAAACTTTAGGGTTCAAATCACACCAAAACATAACATTTTTTTAATAAATATAAATTGCAGTGGGAAAATAAGCGGTAAAGTAAGATTTGGAGTATCTGAGAATGTTAAGATGAACTGTTGACTTCCTTTTACTTTTTTTTCTTCCCTCTCTGTAGGCTGGTAGAAGTGGAAAGACAGTCCCAGAATTGGAAAAAACAATTGGTTTGATGAAAAAGGTTGTAGAGAGAGTCCAAAGAGAAAATGAAGACCTGAAAAAAGCTCCAGCTGTGGTTTCTAATGAGAAATTACTTAGTCTTGAACAGGAAAATGCTAGGCTAAAGGTACTGCTTAATCTCCAAGTATTACAGTTAGCTAGCAGTTCATATGCAAGTTGGTAGGAAAATGGAGCAGCAAACCTGTTGTTGACACTGATTGAAAAGTGTTTTAAAAATACCAAATATGAAATGTGGAATACGAAAGCAAAACTTAATTTGAGCATAACATACTGCATGATTTAACTAAAGGTAAAACTCAGTACCTTAAGGATATATTTAAATATGTGATAAAATGTTATGTTCACTGTGGTAGGTTGCTGTAACTATGCTGTGCTTTAAAAATGGAAATCTGAAATTTTCTGCTAAGCAATGTATATGTGTTTTGACAACCTGTTTGATATTTAGTTTGAAATGGAAAAAATGAAGCTTCATCTGGGGGGCCAGCTGAATATGCATTATGAATCTAAAACCAAAGGAATGGAAAAAGTCATTACTGAAAACGAGAGGCTGCGTAAAGAACTGAAGAAGGTATGATCATTGTAATGCATCTCTTTGTTTCCATTAGTTACTGGTTGTGGTATCTTTTTTTTTTAATGGTTGACATGATATAGAATGGACACTTTTCTAAGCACTGATATTGCTATGACAGAATTCTTAATTATATGTGGAGAGGAGCTATCCAAAGAGCAGCCCAGGGCAGAATTTGGAAGTTATAGTGCACTGTTTTCCACTAAATCAGCACTGATCCTATCCTACTATCATTTTAGATAGTCCTGTGCTTTATGTGAGGTTAAGTATTCCATAAACCTTTATTTTTATTGAACAATAGGAAGCTGACAGTGGAGAGAAGCTACGAATAGCGAAGAATAACTTGGAGATATTAAATGAGAAGTTAACTGTACAGCTGGAGGAAACCATGAAGAGGCTAAGTTTGGCTGAGAGCCAGTCTGACAGAGCTGACAGCAAAAGCTGGAAGTCCGTTGTTGTGACAAGGTAGGAACCGAGAATGAAATAAGGAAGATACACAGAGGTGTTAATTCCTCTTTAAATATTACCAAACAAATTAGACTCTCAATTTCATAGTTTTTCTTTCCTCTTTTGAAAATAGTTTTATATTATCTGTATTTTATTTTCTGATTTTATATTGGTGTGTAGAATCAGTATACAGGTCTCTGATACGAACCCAGCACAGATCTAATGTCCTTAAATGGATTGTTTGTGCTTTGTGGAATAATGTCAGCATTTTTGCTGAACGTATAGAAGGTATTTCAGTACCTTACCACATGGATGACAATCTGAAACAAAAACTGGAAGCCAGCAACCTGCATTTTCCAGCTTGGCTACATTTGAATCTACATTTAACCGTGTAAACGTGCAGAGGTTGTGTTAGAAAACCCACTGGGATTTCTGTACTCCTTGGGCTGTACTCCTTGGGACAGGAGTGTAGCTAAAGATTCTTCACGTGTACTCTGAAGGCCCTGAAAGCTAACTGGACTAAGTTGATTCTGTTACCTGTAGAAGAAGGGAAAAAAAACTCAGAGACTAGCGCTGGATCATCTTTTCCAATATATAAAAGGAAGGGTGGGAATTGCCATTTCCTAGATTTTTAGATAAAACTGAGACTCTGAAATCAGCATCAAAAGTAATTTTTGGTTTGGTAGCAATAGTAAATGTTTACAGCTCATTACCAATAAGTTACCTGAAAGTTACCTACCAGTTGGTTTAAAATTCATGTATTGCTTGCATCAGTGTGGAACAAAGTAAAGAAAACAGTTCTGTGACACCAGTTTCTGCTTGGCAAGAAACATACTTTTTGAATTTATCTGTACTTCCACAAATAGTTCAGATGCTTTTTCTATTACACCTGCTTATACAGGCTGGAGATCTTGCCTCTGCAGCCTGAACACCATTCATCGCATCCTCTCCTTGCTAGAAGCAAGCTGCTTAGTTCTGTGGTTTGTGGTTTGCTTACAGAAAAGATTTTGGCAAACAGTCACCTCAAAACCACTGCCAGTCCAAAAAGCGTTCCTATTTCAATACTGAGCTACACACAGAGACGCTAGTTACATGTCACACTAGCATGTTTAATAACAGAGTGATATAGAATGTGAAGTTTGATATAAGATACATTCACATGACACATGCCTGTGATTCATCAGAGTGGACAAGGAAGGAGAATTTCACCCCTCCTGAGGCAAGAGTTTTTAATTTGGTACTGCCATATCTCAGAAAAGGACAAGAAAACGAAACAATGCTTATGCTGTTAAGAGAAATAGACAGCCTGTGTCCTGCATGAGGGTGGAAGAGAGCAAATTTCTGGGAATAAATACTTAGTCCTGGACTCCTGGAGGACCTCAGGATGAAATAAGATGACATGTTGCAAAAGGACTCTTTAATAGTTGTAAACGGAGGTGGAAGGTATCTACAAAACCAGAACCTCTGACAGCAACCTTATTAGGGCAGAAAATCAGCTGGGCAGGAGAGAGACTCGTCTGACTTTGTCTGAGGTCAGATCACCACTGAACAGTCTATCTGCTGATGTCCAAGATGTTACCTACTCCCCAGTCTTGGACTCCCGCAGGATCCCTTGGGGGAGTTCTGGCGTTTCTCTGATGTATTGCTGAGCCATTTCACTTCACTGAGACTTCAGAAAGCCATTCCTTTTTTTTAAGCTTCCCCCTAAGTAAGTTGTGAGGTAAAATGTCTTTCTGCAAGGTCAGGTGGCAGCCATATTTAGCGTAAGGAGGGAGGGCATAACCGGCTGCCAGCCACAGGAGGAGGACGCCAGGAACACGCAGTGAAGATGGGAGGCCCTTAACAGCTAGTGTATCAGCTCAGTAGTTGGAATATAGTTTTTCTTTTAGTTCTTCACCTCTTTGAAAAATATTTCTACTCAGTTCTATTTAGTTAATGTATAGGTAGTTGTGTATATATAGGTATAAAATATATGGTTGAGCTTAATTGCACTTGCCTATTTCAACAGGAGTGAATAAAAACTTCTATTTGCATTTACTTTAAAATGATTTTAAAGTAAGTGAGTAACATTAAGACTTTACTAACCTAGAGGAGCTCGTTGGGGCACTTTAACGTGCAGTCCAGCTCACCAGCGCATCTTACAAAGCTTGTATGTGGTGATGGAAAGTATTTGATAGGGCAGAACAAGGTGTCATCCAAGTGATCCTTCAGAAGGCTCTTCGGCAGGTAACGAGACGTTGGAGATTGTATTGCTATCTGAAAACCCGCTCCAGGTGGGAGATGGGACCACATGACCTCCAGAGATACCTTCCAACCAACATTTCAGTGATTCTACAAAAACCTTTTTGTAACCTTGTACAGCTCAAAGCAGAACAGAATCCTCCTCAGACTGCTGTTACTCCAGGGTAGACACAATTTCTCGTAGAACATTCTTCCCCATGGAGTCTTCATCTTCTGTATCTGTATTAGCCCTTTTATCAGTACATTAATTTATTTTCCATAAATTATTAAATCATAAGAAAAACACTGTCAAAGTTATGACGCAGAATTAAGACGTGACCAATATGCACACTGCATCAGTAACAGATGTGCGTGTTCTTAGCAGGAGGTAGTTTATATAGTGTAACACCACAGAAAGATTCCAGTCCATCTTTAATAAGTGTAGACACAAAGTAAAATCCACAAAGGTGTAACATTTGGAAAAGCCTTTATTCTAGAATTAAAAATGTATTTTTCATTATGCTTGTTCCAGCTCATTTAGAAGACCAGTGATTATTTCAAGGCCAACGCCCCAAACATATTTTAAGGTGTATTTTATGGTATTTAATCTCCTAAAGATATTTTAATCTCTATTTCTGCAAAAGAATTAGCTTTTGCTCTTATCTTTTTCTACATAAAAATACTACCAGGATGCACGAAACTAAGATGAAGGAAATGGAAATGGATATTGCTAAAAAAACCCAAAGTATTACTGACCTTAAACAGCTGCTTCAGGAAGCAACAGAACGTGAACACAATGCTGATAAAAACTTAAAAGATCTAAAAGAACAAGTGAGTAAAATTTAGCCAGATGACTCTGAGAATAGATTGCTTAATATTAATTCTTTCTAATGCCTGTATTGACAGAGTGTATTTTTTCCTCTAATCCATGCATTTATAGGTTTTTTCCAGTCCTAACTGCTGTAATTGTACATCTACATATTTTAGCTGATTAATGAGGTTTACCACATATCAATATATATTCTTGACTTGCAGTCTCAGGGGAAAATTAATTTTTTTCTACTGTATTCTTTTGTAGGGCTTTGTATTTTAGTTTCATTGATCACATGAAAGCCTGTAGGTACAGATGCTTCAGATGGTCTTAAAATCTTTTTAGCTTGTTCCACAGAGCCAGTTTGCTGCAGGGACCTCCCTCTTCCTTCCAGGTCTGTTCTGGGGGCTTGACTCTGCCATCCTAAAGGGGATCTTCATGCCTGTTCCCAGTACAGCCTCTTACATGCAGTCCCTAATAAGTCCTACAAATATTAATTCACATGTGGAAGAGTTGATGAATTTTAAAGTTAACTACACTACAAAGAAACAAGAGATGGATTGTGAAAAAACCCAAATCCGTACCATTTTAGGTAGTAACAGAACAAAAGCCTATCACTAACAGTAGCCTTATGGGAGTTCACACATTGTCATTGCAGTCCAACTGTATGCAGTCTCATAATTAGAAGTGATTTTTTACTCCCACATCTTCCGCTGAAAGGCCCTTCCAGAGGCCAGCTCCCGTTCTAGCTAGGGACCTGTTCTGACTTACGACTGCATGTCACTTCTAGGCAACATACGCTTATTTGGGTCTTCACTGCAAAATCACAGGCTTTTCATATCATGTTTAAAAAGGAACTTGGATACCTAGGTATGCAAATAATCATGTCAGTAATATTTTTAAAGTACTTAAATGAGATAGGCATGTTACTTCCTTAAGCATATGTATAAATTATGCTAATGTAGCTATGTCTCCGACTTAAAGTTTAACTTTTGCATCCTTTTTTCTTCACTCGTCATGAAATACGTAGCAATGATCTGTACTAACTTTAAAAAGGCTTTAGATACTTAGCTTTGTGGAAACCGTCAGTAGATGAGCACTTAGGGTTTTTAATCTGTGATAACCTAGTACTTGGTTACATCCTTACTATTTTTATTTTTTTTTTTAACCCTGTGTCATAGAGAACTCCATCTGAACTGTATTATCCATGGATACTGTTTTCAAGAGTAAAACTTTCTTAATTTTTTTTTTAAGATTGAACTTCTCAAACACCTTCCTGAAGGTGCAGGGACGGAGCAAAGCCTCATCAGGGAGCTTCGGCTTTTAAGGTAATGTAATTTTAAACAACTAAATAAATACCTCAGCTAATATACTTGAAATAAGAATGATCAGGAATGGCCATTGCGATTTATCTTTTATATTCTAAAATGTTTTATTAATTAAAATTATTCTAAAATTGTTTTATATTCCAGATTAACCAATAATCATTTAGAGAAAGAAAAAGCAGAACTAGCTCACCAGGTGGAGGATTGTAAGCACCACATACACACATATACAAGTGAAGGTCCTGCAGCCGGTAATCATTTTCAATACCTAAAATAAAGAACTTCCTGTATTTTGGGCCTAAAACTATTTTTACTTAATATGTGCGTGCAAAATGATAGTAAATCTACAGAATTATTTGAATTATATTAATGCCAGAGTAGCGAAACTGGAGCAGACTAAGGTCTCAGGATTTTTGACTACTTATAGAAGTTTTTTAGAGAGAAGTATTAGTAAAAATCTCTGTAATTAATTACCTTGAACAAGAGGCTGTAATCTTTGTAAGATTGCCCTTTCAAGAAGATGTGTAGTTCATGCCACCATCTCCTTTATAAACCTCAAAAGACTGCTTGTAACATGTCAGTCATTCACTGAAACCCTCTTGCCTACCCCTCCTGCCTTGGGTTCCAAGCTGCCAGAGAATGAGCGTCTGTTTCCAGATGCCAGCTCTGGGAATGACTTAAGACTCAGTCCCATGGCAAAGCTGCAAAGCAGCACATTGCCGAATGACTGGGGAAAAAAACCCTCTTGAAATTATGAATATAATTAACAAGATCCTTATACTACGTTAGCTTGAAGTTTCCTGCCTTTAATTCAGAGAAACAGTGCATGTTGTATTTCTCAGAAGTGTGCTAACAGGCTGGCCGCTGGAGTATTGCAGTCAGTCACAGGAACGAGACACCGCCACCTAATTTCTACAAGAACTAAAGAAAAGCCCAGACAACTTGAATTTGTGGTGGTTGTTGATCCCAGTTGGGTTTACACGCTGTAACTATTTCAGCTTTCAGCAGATGCAGAATTACTGTAACACAATTATTCATGTCATTGATTTTCATTACCTTAAATTTCATAACAAATTATCATTATTTTTGCAGGACATAATGAAACTGTAGAGGAGAAAACTCACAAGTTAATGACAGAAGTAGCTGACCTCCAGACACAGCTGAAAGCCTCAGAGTTGGAAAAACAGCAATTAAAGGTGAGTTGCAAGGATCATCCTAGGCAAGATAATGAGCAAAATTACGGTTACCTGGAAAGAGCTGTTTAATATCTAAACTAATATTTATAGACAGAGTAAATTTCTAAACATGTTTATGAAGCCTGTTTTCTTGTTAGTGAATGTGCTGTTCATGGGTAGATTTTTGTGTCTGTAGAGAACATGCTTCTTCACCCATCATTTAGCCTCTTAAGGAAAAGGCAAAAAAAGCTGTTGTTGACATACATTTCCTGCGTTCTGGATAAAGACGGTACTCTGTCATTCTTTTTATTAGGAAGAAACAAAAAAGCTGAGAAGAGAACTAGAAAACTTTGACCTCTCCTGTTTTGAAGAAATTGAGGATCTGAAATACAACTACAATGAAGAAGTAAAAAAAAATATTATCTTAGAAGAGAGATTAAAGCAGCTTTCTGAAGAGTTTGGCATTCAAGTGGATAGTCCTGGCAACGTTTCTGTTGATTAGGCTAGTGGTTAGTAGTCTCAGTATTGATACTGAAAATAAGTTCTGGGGCAGTTACATAATACCGATTTATTTGTCTGGTTTGATCTTGGAATGATACAAGTCTGTTGAAGTTACAATAGTCTGGCACATACCGAAGAGTGCAGAACTAGATTAGTCAACAGATTATGGTCAGTATTTATATACACCCGTCAAAATAAAAGTGAGCTCCCAACTCCTTTGCAATATTATATTTTAAATCAGAACAGTAATCTGGGTAATACACAGGTGTCAGGTGAAGTTGAAACCTTGGACTTACCCTAAAAGCTGAGAAACTCTTAAAATGTGCTAAATACACTAAGTTCCAGATCGATACAAATATGTAATTTGTTCCGGCTGTCTTGTACTAACGTACTTCTGTATGAACTCAGGGTCAGCGCACCGGATGTCTGTTCTTACATCTCTGGTTATTTTTACCTCAATTTTAGAAAATCTAAGAACAAAGAACTGAAAATAGTTATAGTATTTCAGCCAAACTAAGGGTATTTTTGTAGATAAATGAGTTTTCATTTTGTATATTTTACATAGCTGGATGTACACTTTTATAGCACAGATAAAATAAAGCCAACTCAAAAGATCACGCATTCTCACTTTTATTATTTATATGCCATCTTACTTAATATGCCCTTGAGGAGGTTTCCTCCTTGAGATGCAGTCTGAAAACGGGTATTATTAAGCCAAGTCATGTGTCTCTCAAACTACTAACGATCTCCAAAATAGAACTAGTATACTTTCTATTATTTACTCTTTTTGTCCCAAAATAGTGGAAATACCTGTCGAATATAGCTTAATTAGGTTTTCAAGTAATAGCATAATGCTGCAGTTTACCAGTTAAGTAATACAGTGAAAAGTTGTGACCCAAAAGAAATTGTTACAACTTGAAAACAAAACATCAAATTTCAGGACTAATTCTGGTCCCACCTGACATATGTCCTTTACTGTTAAGAAACAACTAGATTCTAAGACTGAATCCTACATGTAACAGTGTCATATTAATTTTTATTCAAGTGCAACCTATGGAATTCATTAGCTAAGCTATTAGGACCAGCCAGTGTTAGACAACATACTACTGACACTTAAACAGTTTCCAAAAATGGGTTCAAAAGTTCAAGATTTTTCAGAACTGAAAACAGACATGCTGAAAGCTAGATCTCTGCTCTGGAAGTCGGATCTCTCATTATATAAAGTTAGTCATTCTGGAAAAACTTAAAATCGAGTTTGAGAGTTCTGTGGTAGACACAGGTAAGAGGAATGCAGCACATGACAATTAACTGAAGAGAAAAATAATTTCAAGCATCAAACTTGATATCTTTGAGTCTGTCAAATCTTTGACCATCCAAGTTGGAAAAATGGTGAAACAAACTCTTTGGTTCAAAGTCACAGTCATATTTAGTCCTATTAAAAGAAATCACAACAGGCTGAGAATTCAGGTATGTCTCTGCAAGTGGCCAGCGTAAACCAAGATGATGGCGATGGAGCTAAAATAAAAAGAAATACAATCAGTTTAGAGATTTTGATATAGTAGCCCAACAGTTCCCAAGTTGGGGGGTACGGGTGTGTGTGCACTTTAATTCGAGGACCCTCTGCATTAGGGCACTTACAACCATTAATCAGTTATCTGAGTAACACGAGTAACAATGAAGCACAAAAAGCAAACCAGAACTGAGGTGTCCTCCACAGAGTCATAAACAATATAAACTTGCTAATTTATCAAAAATCACATTCTTATTAACAATACCTGTTCTAGATGTCAACATTACAAGAAGTGAAATTTTTAAATAAAAGAATTAAGCTTTAAAATGTTGAGCGATTCCTATACAGAGAGGCAAGAAAATAATATTTTATGTTCTCAATTACTTTAAGTTACTAGCATAATGTAGATAATGAAAAAATTTAATATGTTCTCATTGTAGTGATTCACTGGCTCGACTAATTCTACTGTCACCTGATTTGCTAGAACATCTACTATGAAAGAACTTGGAAAACAGGACAGAAAGTGAATACCTCACAATACTTCACATATTATGAATTATTACAGTACTTCCCACATGTCCTTCTATATACTTACCTTGATTAAACACCCATCATGGCAGTGCCACACAATTCCTTCAACTTTACCCTCACTGCAGCCTTCAAACCAAGACACTATGTCATTCTGTTTCAAAGTAGGTGGATTCTTTATTTCAAATGCTCCATGTGGTACAAGGAGATGTACAGGCTGCTTCTTGCTTCCTAATCCTACGTTAAAGAAAAAAATCTTCCTGCTAGTTACATGTGATATTTAAGGTTTTCCTCGCTTTCGTTCTTACGGCTATCTTAAAAGCACTCCATAAAGGTAGACTTTTATTAAATACTACAACACTGTCCTGCCTTTAAGAGAACAGTTAAATACACTTTTAAGTATCAAATGTAGCTGTCTCCTTCTCATGTAACTTTTTGTTTATATAAAATAAATCTGACAGAGATTTACACAGTTGTCTGCTTTGTCCTTTTGGTCACCTCCTCAGTAACCATAAAGCTACTAGCCAAGTTCTTCATGCTTCAGATCATGATCCATAGCACAAACATCTTAGTTCCTGAAAATCTGGCACATTTTCTGACGAATATGGATTAATACCTAAGCCAGGCTATTAACAAATGCGTTGCTTCTTCACTGACTGTTCAACCTAAATATTCATCTAAGAATACAGCTGTCAGATTTTTTTGTTGCAGTTCCATTACATTCTGAGAAAACGCTTAGAGCAGGTACCACTATTTTTCCTATCCATCCTTGCAAGTTACCTAACAGCAAAACTCAGAAGTTAGAACTCACTTGTGCTCATACCTAATTGGTTTTTTGTTACACAGCTTTTAATGGAAGAAGCCACAACCAAAATTCAGCTTAAATTACATTTCCTTAAAAAAAAAAATATTTTCATAATTTAAAAATTGCAACTTATGACTAATTCTAGGAACTCAAAAAAATGGCTAAATAGAATTTTCTACTTTAATGGACTAAACAGCATCAGAAGAGCAAGTAAAAAAAAGTCGGTAAAAGGCACCAACAATCAATCTTTAAAAAAATATTTTAACATTTTAACAGTAATATTTAAAAAAAGTTTTCCAGTCAGAGTATTTTTTGAAAGACTGAAGAAAAACATTTTTATACTAACTCCTAAAGAATATGCAGGTGGAAAGAGGTTTAATAGACATAAATAGTATCATGACAACTCAGTTTTCTGAGTATTTTTGGGTGAGTGTTCTTGACCTAGCCCTTTCTCCCCTTTCTAAAAAGGTTACATTGCTACCTTAGAACTTTTAAAAAAAAATTTATACAAAGAAAAGGCATAGATTTCACTCAAAAACATCACTAAATTAAAAAGTATTTAAGAACAGATCATACAAACTTACCATATGGATTTGCATTAATATTAGTCCCAATAAGCTCCAATGTTTGTTCTAAAATTTCCGATAATGGCACTGGGCTGATTTCCAGCAGCCCTGGGTCAGCATGGTGTTTCAATACCAGCGCAATTTCAGCCTCGTAATTTACAACAGAAGAATGCCAGCAATACTGCTTACTGTTTTTCTCTACAGGCACCCAACCTATGAGAAAACACTGCATTTCACCAAAGTAAATATCTGAAGTTATCAAATGCATGCTAGAACTGTACATGCATTAAAATGAAAAACAAACAAACAAAAGACCAAAACCACAGTTAACTACAAACAGAGTAACAACAAAAACTGTGTCGTATGTCAGAGAGACGTCAGAGGAATGGAAATGTGAGAGCTGCGCCTTCAGCTGAAGGCCTGTAAGTCTGTACAGTAAACTGCAATCATTTTCGATGTGTCAGAAGAACAAAGCCTTCCTGGATGCCGAATGGATGACATTCTGATTGTTGCCTGAATATGTGACCTACTAATTTCAACTCTGGAACTAATTCTAATTCACTTCCAAAATGGATTCCCTCCACCCCCCATTTTAGCTGTGCTGCACCGTAGCTACCTGGCATATGTCCGTTTTCATCGGGCAAAGGCCGGCCATTAGAGAACTCTATGTCCTTTGCTGGAATCCAGGTATCTGGGACAGGTTTGAAATCCTCTTCAACATTCCAAACAAATTCTAGACATATAAATGTGACATTTAGTTTCTGGCAAACTGTTAGCCACTTTTGATCATCTTTCAAGGCAGTTATTAAAATACCACTGATCTAAATCTTGTTTTAGACAGTAGTCCCAGTTACTTTGTTGAAGTGCCCAAGCAGTCTACAATTAGGATGAGTTTAAAGAAGAACAGTAGCCTTTAAGTAGTTTAAAAGTTCAAAACTAACAGGTTAAAAAATATCTACCTAAATAGCCACCGTTATATTTAAACTAGAGCAAGAGAAGTACAATAGAATAGAATACACTGCTGCAGTCGGAAGGGACCTACAACAATCAATCCCCTAGTCCAACTGCCTGATCACTTCAGGGCTGACCAACAGTTAAAGCAAGTTATTGAGGACATTGTCCAAACGCTTCTTACATACTACAGGCCTGAGGCATCGACCACCTCTCTCTAGGAAGCCTGTTGCAGTGTACAAACACCCTCTCAGTAAAGAAACGCTTCCTAACATCCAGTCTAAACTTCCCCTGGTGCAGCTGTGAACCATTCCCACGCGTCCTGTCACTGGATCCCAGGGAGCACAGATCAGCACCTCCCTCTTCATGTCCCCTCCCTGGGAAGCTGTCAAGAGCAGCGAGCCCGCCCCTCAGCCTCCTTTTCTCCAAACTAGACAAACCTTAAATCGTGGGGCCCAGAACTGCACACAGTACTCCAGGTGAGGCCGCACCAACGCTGGATACAGTGGGATAATCACCCCTTTTGCCCGGCTGGTTATGTTGTGTTTGATGCACCCCAGGATGGGGTTCGCCCTCCAGGCTCCCACGGCACGCTGCTGGCTCATGTGGAGCCTGCTGCTGACCAGCACCCCAAGATCCCTTTCTGCAGGGCTGCTCTCCAGCCACTCCTCTCCCGATTTATACTTGGGCCTGGCATTACCCCATCCTAGGTGCAGAATCCGGCACTTTGACTTGTTAAATTTCATCCCATTAATCATAGCCCAACATTTGAAACTATCTAGATCCCTCTGCAAGGCCTCTTGTCCCTCAAGGTCAACAGCAACTCCCATATCGGTATCTTCAGCAAACTTCATAATGGTGCATTCAACTCCTGCATCCAGACCGTTGATTAATATATGGAACAGAACTGGCCCTGGAATTGATCCCTGAGGAACACCGCTGGTGACTGGTCGCCAATTCCTCCAGAAGGACGCTGTGAGCAACAGTATCAAAAGCCTTACCAAAATCCAGAAAAACTACATCCACTGCCTTCCCTTCACCCACTAGGTGGGTGACCTTATCATAGAAGGATACAAATTTGTAAACCCATGTTAACTCTGCCTGATGATCGCATTACTCTTTAAATGCCTTTCAGTAGTACATAGTATAATCTTCTCGATTATTTTTCCAGGAACTGAGGTGAGACTAACAGGTCTGTAGTTCCCTGGGTCTTCCCTCATACCGTTCTTGTAGATTGGAATAACATTGGCTAGCTTCCAGTCAGCAGGGACCTCCCCAGACTCACAAGACCTTTGGCAGGGGATTGAGAGTGGTCCCTGAGGCAAAAAACACACTGAGGGCCCATGTTCTTTCTTCATCCCTATTAGTCAGATGACCACCTTCAGCAAGTATCAGTCCAATGTTTTCTTTAGACCTCCTCTTGCTATTAACATACTTTAAAAAGCCCTTCTTCCTATCTGAAGAAACACTGGCCAGTTTCAACTCTCACTGAGCTTTGGCCTTTCGTGTCTTCTCCCTGCCTATACAAACCACATTGCTCTATGTACTCTTCCTGTGAAGCACTGACCTCACTTCCAGAGATCACGCGGTTTCTTCTCCCTCTTGCACTCCATGAGGAACTTAAAGAATTTCCAAGACCTGCTTGCCACAGCAGTATGATATTGCCAGTTGATGCCTGGAAGCTGAAATCTCCCATAAGGACAAGGGCTACCAGTCCACAAATTTGTCCTAAATGCCTGTAGAATAACTCATCAGTGCTTACACCCTGGCAGGGTGATCGATAGTAGACACCCGCTACAACATCTCCTTTGTTTTCTGTCACCCTAATCCTTACCCAGAGGCTCTCAACACATCATCACTAACTGTAAGGGCCGTGCAATCAAACCTCTCCCTTATGTATAATGCAACATATCTCTACCTCACCTTCCCTGCCTACCCCTCCTGAACACCTGTGGCTCTCCACTCCAGCACTCCAACCATGGGGCTCATTCCACCACGACTCACTAGTACCAATGATGTTGTAGCTCTGGGAGCTGACAAAGCTTCCATTTCATTCTGTTTGTTTATCACACTGCGTGTGCTGGGGTACAAGCATTTCAGATGTGCTCCTGAGCCCTCCATGCCCCCAGGAGCAGTGTAAATGTTCCCACTAGAGTTGCCACCCTCTGGTGATGTCATGCCAACCCTTGGCTTACCTACTGTAATCCTGTTAGTATTCCCATCCCCCATCAATTCTACTTTAAAGCTCTCTCGAAGTAAAGTCAAGAGTAACGTTAAAAAAACTGGAGCACGATCGCTAATATTTCCTATGTTAGAATAAAGGTGATTTTCCAGCTGGATAACTTACAATGCCAGAAAGCAGGAAAGAAATCTTCACTAACCTTTGCAATCTTCCAATGAATACAAAAATCGTTTAAACCTTTTTTCAGCTTGTTTGTTGGGCTTTCGATCCAGCCTGGCCCATAGATAGGGTTGCCCTAGAGTTTCGAGAGGGATAAACCAAAGAGTTTAATGCGCTAACCATACCCTGCAGACTACTGAAATCAATTACATAAAAGGCAAGGTAGGAGTTCTCATTTGTCACTAGAGACATTTTATATCTAAAGACCCTATCTGAAATCATAAAGTAATTAGAGTATATGAATACAGAAACCTATCTGTAAAATCTTGCCTACTGTAATACAAAGTTTCCTTACAATTTCAGGTAAAGGCAAGAACCCAAGTGGTAAAATGAGCCATTTCCTCACAACCTCCACACTTATTGTAATCCTCCCCAAGGAAATTAAACACTCTTTATCATATAAATTCTAGTGCGCAAGGAAGACTTATTAAATTAGTTATTTGACTGGCATGTCCATTTCAAATATACTTCATGTATTTTAGAGAGTAAAATCCATAACAACTTCACAAACGTCTCCTACATTTACAGTAACTGTCATTTTGTGGGCAACAAGTCGAAGGAGAGTTGCATTCACAACAGCTGTCACCCAATAAATCACACAACAAAACTGAAAACTAAGTGAAACAAGGCTTCTAGGCAGCACGAGAAATCCGCACAGGAATTTTCCTTATTACCTTTATGGGTAGTTACATAACAGCAGGTTCCGTCCACCTTTTCAGTAGGAATTGCATTGTATATATCTGCCTCTAATGCCTTTCCGCTTACAGTTTCAGTTGCCAACACTTTAAATGGCTGAAAAGAAGACAGGTGTTTTAAACTCTCCTCATGGCTCTCTTACTGCCCTCTTCTCATATGGATTCTCGCGCCTTACAGCTGCCCTCTGTAACTCCAGTGGGACACATTATATGGCCCATTGCTAATCCTACCGAAACACACCCGTGATTCTACAAGACATGACAGTTCGGGAAACGCTCTAACACAAACGTACACAGGCAATCTATTTCCAGTCTCTCTCCCTCCTTTCCGTTCTTGATCACTATTTATAGATGACTTTGCCTTCCACTTTACATAGGGCACGGAAATTAGAAGGGTTCCAGTCCAACGCTGCCAAATTTTGAGGTGCGGTGTGCCTTCCTGTGTTACGATGGCAACAGAAATTCACCACGACTAGCTGCTGCGAGCTTGCAGGCTGGGGCTGAAAGTCAATAGCACCGTGTTAGCACAATACCCAGGCCAGCGGAATGCAAGGTGGCAAAACCATCCTGGTGTTCAATACCTTGTATCAGTCCTGTCAGCTAAACAGTTTTCCAATTGAAAAGAGCAGAGAAATAAGGGACACTGGGGTCTGAACAAATATCCAGTCACAACTAGCCCAAATTTCAAGGAGGACTTCTATAGCTAGGGCTTCTGTAACAGCTTCACTGCAAACATACAGTCACTTCTATGCGGATTACAATATTTTCCTATGTCATCATCACTCCTCTCTCCCTAGTCAGTTTTAACTTGCAAGATGGTCACTGTCTCCTGCTGGCAAAACACACAGCGCGTCCTTGTCTTGAAAAGTCCTGAGAAAAAGTCTGGGATTTCAAAAATGAGACCCTTCTACATGCTTGCCTTCAATACATGGCTGCTTTCTATTTTAGTAATCGTATTTGTAACCATAACGTATAGTATGTGCGAAGCTCTTATGAAGATCACACGAAAAAGAAAATTTTCAGGGTAGTGAGAACAGATACCTGTCTGTTTCCCCGCCCCTTCTCCCCTCTCAGTCACAACCCCCTCTACTCTCCTGGCCTGCACTTGGAAAAACGCAAAAGCAGCACACAGCAGTTCCACACCTAATTCCCTCCGGGGTTTTTCTACGTGAAGGAACAACAACTCTGGGAGCGCCCTGGGTCAACCCCGACCCCCGGGCCGGAGCCCTCCCCGCAGCCGCTCTCCCTCGGCCGGCGC